TGTCCTGAAAGCGCCCGGGGGGGGCGGGACGGAAATCCCGACCCCCCGCGGCCCGGCGGGGTCCCGGGCGGGGCCGGAGCCGGGCGCGGTGCAGCGGCCAGCCGGGAGCCCCAGGCACCGGGCAGGGCTGGGGAGCCGGTGGCATCAGCGGGGTTTGGGCACACAGCTGGGCTGGCTTGGGGAGGGACAGTGTCCGATGGAGTATCGAGCAGGCGGTTTTTTAAGCGGCGATGCGTTCAACGTTCCCGATGAGTGAGTTATAACATGCCTAGGAGGAGGCGGTAAAAACTTTCAAAGAGTGTGGAGAGATGCGATGTGAAACTGTCCGTGTGACAGTAGGGTCCCAATTCCCCAGCACCGGCACCTGAAACTTTTAAGGCACTGGATTTAACCAAGGTAGATCGGATCAAGACCGTATGGCCTGATTTTTCTGCAAAGCCCATTGAACGCAGTGGAAAAACTGCTAGGTGGGTATTTAGGTAAACTATTCAAACTTAGGTAAGAACAATTTTTTATCCCATTAAAATGTTAGGAGAGAGAAAACAAAAAAAATTGCTTTAAATTTATGCATATTACTATTAAACTATGAAGGAAAAGAGTGTAATTCTGTGTTTTGGGGGGTATTTTTGTTGTTTGAGTAGTTAAAAGATGAAATACATCTTGCTCTTGCCTGTCCACCTACGCTCCTTATCAGAAAGGTAGCAGGTAAAGTATTTACAAAGCAAATTTTAAGGCTCAAGATTTACAAGCGAAATAAAAGTTTGCATGTGAAAAGGAAGCCCTATTCCACTGTATTATGTATTATGCATCTGAAGCCTGCAAGAGTTCTCGCTGCTGTGGACTGGGAGATCAAACTCAGCGCTGATGATTCAGACCATAGGGTGACTCCTGGGTGGTGCCCGCAGCCCGAGCCTTTTATTCTGTTGCTTTGGGATTTTTTTGTGGTGTGGAGGGAGTGCAAATGTTGAACTGCTCCTCTGTTAGGACTCTTTTGAAGTCACAGGGGATCTTTCAAGAGATTCCCACAGTGGGAAGGATGTCCAAATATTAAATGGCTTTCACCCAAAAAGCGATCGGCAAAACTGCAGGCCTCATGGAGATTTTTCTACAATGTCCCCTCAGTATTGTCATTTTCTCCTGCCCCGTTGAGGGTGGTTTCAGGTCCCATCAGAGCCACGAGGGTGCAATCCCCATGGATTTCTTCTTTTATTTACACTCATCCCCATGCTGCAGCCAAAATTGGACTTCCACAGTTCAGCGTTTCAAGTTTTCTCGTCGCTGACTGAGTGGGGCAGTTGTGAGTGCCTGAAAAGGCTGATGGACAATTACTGCAAAAAAAAAAAAAAAAAAAAAGTAGGAGATTCAGGGAGCTTATTAGCTTCTTCACAGCTGTGCAAGCGGAAATTGTGCAGGTCTTTGCCCTGGACATCATCTAGAATTAGAGCGTGGAACTCATATCAGAGAGTTGGGAAATCCATATCTGTTCAGACACGTGTGAAACTGGACTGGATGTATGTATCTGAGACTTCCCTGCCACTCAAAGGGAGGGTGCTTTTGCCTTGCTGAGAGCTGAGCGGCTCTTCAAACGCATCTCTAGTTTGCCACATCTTTGCAGGGGCAAGTGATAAAGCAAAATAATTGTGAAAAAAGATATTAAAACATTGTGCTTATCCCCTGGCTTAAGTCTGCTGTTCTTGCTGTAAGTGAGGATCCCCCACTCTAAACTCTTGCTTTGAAAAGTAATTAATGAGGCACTTTGTATGGAGGCTGCCCATAAATTAGTACTTCCAAGAAGGAAAAGGAATTGGGAAGAGCATCTTAAATTGAAATAGAGTGCAGTCCAGCCAGCTTGCCAAACCTACTGTTTGTGTTGAGGCCAGAGTCTGCAAGATTCAGACCTTGCTTATCTGTCTTATATGTCTTGGTCTGACATATTTCCAGAGCAAGTGCTCTGGTGAGCTCTCCTCGTCTGAAGAGGAAGCGGGCTGAATCGCTGGTTCTGTAGATTGAAAAAGCAGCACATTTTTTAGCTGGCTTTGTAAAGGTTAGGTGGGTTTTACTGGGGGGCTGGGATTTTTGAAGGTTTTTTCCTCCAAAGATGATGCAGGGGGGTCTTTAGTAAAAAGGCAAGGCAGTTACCTGCTTTTTGTCAGTAGAACTGTCAATCCAGAGTGCTTGAATGGGACAGCAGTGGTGAGGGAGGTCGTGAGACAGCAGGCTTGAGGATGCTGCCTCGCACATCTTATACAGAGACTGCAACCAGCAACATTCTCCAAACTTTGCGCATTTTGGGATGATCCATCATACTGGCCCAAATATCAGTAGACTCAAGACAGGAAATCCTGAGTATTCAAGTGAGAGTTTGGTCTAGATCATCTCTAGTGCTCCCTCTCAACCAGTGTTTCGGTAAACAAATTTGTACTTGCAGTTTATGCATCCTGGTTTTGGCACTAGGTTTTTGCATCTCCCTTAGCATAGTTTGGCAATGACTCATGCCCCCCTCTCCTTGCCTTTGCAGCAGAAGCTTGCTGTCATTAAACACTGGCATCCTTTGAGTTAGTTCCTGCCATACTAACCTCAGCCTGCAGCAGGGAAAATTATTTGGATGGCATGTCAGCTCTGCAGCATTCTGGGCTGCTCCCTGCAAGGGGGAGGTTAGCCAAAATTGCTTGGGGCAGAGTTAAACATGACTGCTTGAATGTGTAGCAGCATTGCTGCGTGATTGTTGTCATGATGGTGTAATTTAATTTCTTGTTGCCATAATGATAATTTAATTTGTCTGAAGCTGCGTCCCTGTGTTGCAAAGCCTTGTAGTTTATTTAGACAACATTTAAGCTAAAACACAATATAATGAATGGAAATGAGGGATTGAGGGCTAAAGGGGTGGATGGAGTTTTCAGCAATAAACTGGTACGTTTTCTTCATCAACATATGCACAAGTCTACAGGTTTTCTAATTTCCAAAAGTCTGTTTGCTCACATTGTTTGAGGGATGAGAGGAGAACAAAACAAGGACAAAAATTATGTGATATGTAAAATTACATAAAAACTATGTAAACACATACCTGTAGGTGTCTATATAAACCAGCGCGAACATGGCCCTCAGCATGGGCACCCCCAGGTGGAGCCTGGGAGATGCTTTTCTCTGTGTGGTTCCCCGCAGGTAAATAAGCGCGAGCCTTATCAGACCAGTTGGAGAAATGAATCCTGGAGAAAATCATGAAGGCATCCTATGCGGAGTCTCAGTTACTGAGTGCAAAGGCTGTGATTTCCACCTAAACCTACTTCAACTTCTGTGCTCTTAAGGAAGAAGTGATACTATTGAACCAGCCAAATTGCAAATCGTTGAGAGCTATGTATGCTTGTACATGGGGCAATATCTTGAGCCATACCTGAAAGTCAGCTAGTATAATTATTGACATGGTAATGTGCATTTCCTGCAGCAAATAATGCCTAAGAAGAGAACATATGATGCCAATGTGTAATTTTTCAAGTGGTCTTTGCAGTACAATACACGTGAGGCTGTGTTTGAAATTGCAAGGGCAGGGATCATCCTTGTGACGTTTGAATCAGGGACAGGTACTTCAAAAGCTGCCTAAAGACTTATTTGGGGATGACAGTGTTTTGCAAAACAATTTTTATACTCAGAAAATCTCTGCATTAAGAATCTGTATATATATAAAGCATGAAGTTACATTTTGTAAGCCATCACAAAATCTTTTGTATTTTTCAAGTAGAAATTAATGAAAATTGGTAATCATCATGGGATGAAATTGTGAATAAAAAGTCAAGACTCGATTTTCCTTACTCCTACCTGAAGGAAATTAATGTCATAGTAAAGTAATAGAAAAATGAGAGTCAGCAGGGACTCCGAGCACTGGGAACAGCTTTTGTCCACTGGGAGAAGAATGGACGAGGGGTGGAGGTTATTTAGGGGAGAGTAGGAGGCCATGCAGTGCCAGCAAGGAGGAGTAGGGCAGAAAGCCAGACCACATGCACTGCAGTGTTACTAGTGTTGAAACCTTAGCAGTTCAAAGGTGTCTTCTGTTCTGTGTAGCACAAGCTTGTTTTTCTAACCATACCTATGGAAAAATTTTTTTTCCATTTATTTAAGATCCTTAAGATATTTTAAATGTGCACACATTATAAGCAGTAAAATTATTTAAGGCCCCCTGAAATTAAAAGAAATTTTTATAGTAATTCCTCTAGGTTTTGGACTGAGCCCTTAAAAAAGGAAGAAAGACTTGTGGAAGAGATAATCCTTCTTTGCAGGGTTTTGGTGGGACTACATGGGGATTATTCAGGATGCGAGTGAAATAAATGGAGTTTAAAAAATGACAGTAATAATTAGGAGACTGGGAGTTGGTCGTGTGAAAAGAGTTTATTAAAAAAATTCATGCTTTCAGTTTGATGAGGCATGGGCTAAACTTGTGATGGGAGGTGTTCGTTGCGTGATTTGTCTAATGATATTTAATGAGTGTTACACCCAACAGGGAGCAGTATAGGCCAGTGGTGGGGAGTTATGGACTCGGGGTGTGATCATGAAATTGGGGAAAAAGGTGAAAGTGCCTGTTAAAACAACTTAGTAGTATGCCCTGAGAGACTGTGCCAGAGGTTTCGAGATTGCTGATAGAAAGTTTTTGCTTTGGGTCCCTAATATTAGACAAGAAACAATCAAGGAAGCAGATCTCACAGCGGGGAGAAGGGAGAAATGGCCCTGGGGGTCTTAATGATTTTCCATTTTCGTAATCTCAGCAGCAGCAGTAGTAGGGGACCAAGCTCTGCTCTGTCACGTATGGTCTGTTGGGACCAATTTTTTTTAAATTGGGAGAGGTGAAGAGATTTCAAGCACCTAACGCTGGTAATTTCACCAGCCATGAGTAGGGATGCTGGAGGATGGAAGAGTAACTTGGAATTAATTGTGGAAAAGTTGGCCTTTTTTGGACAGGCACTCAGACTGGATATTGGATTTTCTGCTTTAAACTGTCGTGTAATCCTTCTGGTTTTAATTTGGTGTACAACTGCAAGTATAACAGAGTTTTGTAAAAAATCTGGCTGCATTTACTGCCTTTTCTCTCGGCCTGTTACAAGCTATGTCTTGCCATGTTTTGGAAATCCTCTCTCTCTCGTTTTCCGCAGGTGAGCATTGCTGTAGCATCATACAGAGCAGGAGTGTGGTGTCTCTCTGGACTTACCAGCATCTACTTCATAGCTCTTGGAGGGTGCTTTTCATTTTCACATTCTGAGGTTTATGGTAAAAGCTGATATGATTTTCCTGTGATTCCCAAAATCTAGGGAAGAGGCAGAGTAATATTTTCTTTTACAAACACGTATTGAATCCAGAATTCATGATTGCGGGTTAGCACTTAACAGGTAGTATCTAGTCCAATCCAAATAGGCATAAATACCCATGGAATGAAAAAATGAAGTGAAATGGGTAGGAAATTCAAATTTCAATGTGGATATGAGTTTCTGTTCTTCATTATATCCAACTTGCTAAGTGTCCAAGTTCTTGAAGACCTGAAGAAATGAGATTTTGAAGAAAAATCCTTTTGGCTTTACTTGCTTTCTAGGAAGCGTTAGTCCTCAGAGAGGTTGTTGCCATTGGAGCCAGTGGCAGATTTTCATCCCGTAGTTTTAATAAATAGTGCCTGTCTGTGTTGGAACGGAGAAGCAGCTTCTCTGTGGTTCTTACATTCTTTAATTCAAGGGGCCAGGCACTTTATCTTAGCTTTAGACTGAATGCAAGCAAAAGGTGTCCAGGGACATGATTGATGGGAAAGGTATTTGCCGCCCAACTTGAAGAGAATTTACTGCACTTGGTAACTTCCAGATTTCAGCTTTGGGAGAATAAGGCAGGAGATACCTTCTCTATTCAGTTTCCATTGCTCATGTAGTCCCATTTATTAACTTCTTTCAAAAGTACTGCTAGCAATTTTGGAAGTTTACAGACATGTTGTCTTGCAACAGGCATGGTCACCAATTTCCCTAATCAAAGTGGGAGGTAAGATTTTGTTCTTCAGTTTGTCAATACAAGGATTGTCCATGATCGCATCCTATTTACCTTCTGTAAATACCTTGAGGTTTTCATAAACCCAGAAGTCTCAGTTATCCCTTTTGTGGCATGGCTCCTTTTTCTGCCAAGGCAGCTGGGAAGCCAGGTTAGGCTCCTTGACCATTCAGCAG